AACAGGTTTGGAGACATAAGCTAAGAAGGCGAGGTGTAGGCCAAAGGACATGGAAAGATTCCAGAACACTGGTTGGCAAGTAAGAAGGAGACGGAAAAGTTGGGTTCAGCGACATCTTCTAGCAGCCCAGTCAGTAACCCCAAGAAACCGTACTGCGGACACGTCTGCGAGGTCTTAAGAAGTTCTGTTTGGTCTGGCATCAGAAAGCTGGGGCCCCCGACCAGATTTGGCTTCTTCGGTAGTGAAGTTTTTCCAGCGTCACGACGATGGTCTTGTACCGTTACATTGTTGAGCTCGTCGGAGTGATGGAGCAGCCCACAAAGCTTCTCCATGTTGCCCTGCTCTGCAGCTGCCAGCAGCTCATCGTCGGCTGGCGAGCATAGCAAGGAAGCGAAGTAGAGTTTTCAGGATTTGCGCACGCAATCCACCCCTCCTATGCGCACCGGGACTGCAACTCCCATCCTAGCTTTCGCAAGCCCTGTCCGCATGTTGCTGCCACTGCGAGCCTGGAAAACTCGATCCGTAGGCGCGGTTTGCAAGTGCCTGGCGAGGCTGCTTGAGGCGGGCCACGAAGAGCAGAACAAGATGGCACGGCTCAGGTTTGGAGTTGGATGCACACGGAGTGAGACCACTTCAGCAACAGCCCAAGGCACGTTGTTGAGGTTCTTCTTGGTTGCGTCGCTCATGGGGCAGCCCTGCCGAGCGACATCGACACAGTAGAGCCAAAGCATGCAAAAACCGCAGCAGAAGCGTGCAGAAGTCTCATCACACGATTTGCAACCGCCGCCCCAGCTGTCGGCGCCACTGAACTTTTTGCCTTCCTGCACAGCTCCCAGATTCGGCATCGAACCCTATGCTAACAGCCCTTATGACCAATTTGGTTATGAACTTTCCTCTGTTGGTGATAGGATGAATGCCTGATGGCTACTATTGTGGTTACCATTACGATGACCATGACTACTATTCCGTCCACTATGACTGATACTACCACTCCTACAAGTGTTACTGCCTTCTTGCCATGATCCTGGTCATCACAACTGATATGGCCATCGTTGTGATTATCATCATTACTCGTATGGTACTCTTGTTGTCAATGATGTTCCTGCTACTATTAGCTATCATGCCTGCTGTTCTTCCCTGGTCTATGTCTGTCATCATGCTCGTTACTTGCACCCACTTTCACCATCATCGTCATCATCCTCACCACCAGCAACAACAACAGCAACAACAACACTATATTTGCATTCATTACTGTCATCCTGAGTTGTTGTACAAAGATACTATGTTATGACTAGTGCTGCACTTGCTGTTCGGTTCTGGGTAGTCTTGCCACTTGCAGTTGTGGTCATGACCATGCAATACCGAGACCTACTGCATGACTACAAACCACAAATGCTACAATGCTACATCCTATATGCATGACATAGGGTGTTTTCTTCATCAGAGTTCGTGAAGCACTTCCCGCCGTGACCCCCAAATCCAGAAATATTAAACGGGTGAGGGGTGCATTAAACAAGCGTATCCTGCGCTGGCGTTTGGTCCTCCTGCGCCTGCTCCTGCGCTTGCTCTTGCTCCTGCTGTTGCTGTTGCTCCTGGTTTGCTCCTGCACTTGCTCTTACTCCTGCCCATGCTTTTGCTCTTGCCCCTGCTCTTGCTCTTCTTCCCGCTCCTGCCCTTGCTTTTGCTCTTGCTCTTGCTGTTAATCCTGCTCTTGCTCCTGCTCTTGCTCTTGTCTTGCTCCTTCTCTCGCTCCTGAACCCCATAATGCAAACTAGGTATTGAAAGGGCAGGGATGGCCCTAAAGTGTTTTTCATTTTGGGGTGTGTGTTGGATAAACGGGGGAACAACTCCATCCGGGCAGTTGTACGGTTGCTGCCGGGGAACTTTCCCCGAACTCTCGAAGAATCGAACTCAATAATTGCAAAGAAGGCAAACGGATGCACATGACAGGAGGATCCAAGAAGTTCTCAGAATTTGTTAGTTAAATTTACATGTGGGACCAATGGCCGCACCCAGACATGCTGCGAACGAGTCGATTTGTGTGGGCAACACCTGCGCCACAAAAAAAAAACATCCATATCGCCCCAAGAACGAAAGCCCCTTCCTTGCTGATGTCGTCCTCTGCAGCCTGAAGCGGGGGTTCAGCAGTTCTGCAGGTGCAAACTGCAGGCCCGGAATCAGCACGAGCTGCCGGTTGGGCTTGAGAGGCTTAAGGGTGCCAATGTGACGGCTACATGCGTTTACAACAAAGGTTTCGGGTGGTTTTATAAATCAGCCCTCGGAAGCCCCTTAACCCGGAAATGTGTCTGAATAGATCATGGTATTTCCGGGATGGAATTTTGCCCACCCGACAGTCACGAAGGCTTGCCAGCACTTTGGAGCGTTTACGAACGCTTGCGGGGGCTGCATGGCAGTTTCTTTTCACCCCGACACCCCCTCGGGAGGAAACCAAGTCAGCACTTAACATTGCCCTGCATCTTTAGTTGCACACGTTCGACATTCAGTCACTGTCTTGGGTTCTGTGGCTCCCAAAGCCCAAAGCCGTAACCATCCCTGAACCCTCGGCCAGCAAGCTGAAACATTCAGGATTCAGACGCCCAGCTTTGGGAGAAGTAAAGGCCCTTTGTTTTCTGCTACATCGACTCAGCTTTTGCCATCTCCTTGCTTGCAATCTGCATCCCAAAACTAGTGAGGAGTTTCCGAAGATAAGGGGTACCTTATGTTGGGGTCCTTATAATAAGGGTCCTACTATTTAGGGCGGGTACCATATTAGGGTCCCCTATTTTCGGAAACCCGCAGTTAGGTTTGAGCTCTCTTGGAGGCAAGTCACCCGGCTTTACACTCTTCACGGCCCGCGCTTTGAGGGATCCAAGCGCAGGAACGCTACGCATGGGAAGGCAAGAAGGGACAGGAGACTTTGCCAAGAGCTCTGGTGAGAACCGGTGCCAGCTAGGAACTTTTCTTCCCGAATCTCGTCTTGATTATCAGGCCTTCGGCCTCGCCGGCGCCTAGTTCCAGTTCCAAGCTGCTTGAGCCGGCATTCAAAGCAGAGGCAGGGGCAAGCAGGAAAAGGGATGCAGCCAGAAGCTCGGGACGCGACCGAGCGGCAGAAACAAACCCTCTCCACGATCACTCTAAGGCAACTGGGTGCAGATACTGAAACCCAATACTGTCGAACGAATAATTACACAAAAAGGAATGGGCCGGTGTTTGTACCGCAAGGCGAGTGTCCCGACTGTTTCCTTCTGAATTGGCTTCAATATTGCCTTAAGGGACCATTCAAGCAAGCAGTAACTGGCAGAGAGCGAAATGGCTTAACAGGCATACTCGGGGGCACATGATACCCCATCTATGCTGGCTGATTATACGTTTCTATCCTTCTTCGCGAGCAGGAATGAAGCGTCATCCGAAAAGTAATGATGACTTCCATATTGGAGTTTCGTGCCGTGTCCGGGAACATCAACGGAACGGACCTTAAACAAGTGTCTCATGCGGAAATTCTGGCGCCAAGCACGCAGCGTGGAGGCAGCCAATTCAGGCCTTGAGAGCCTTGATGTGCAATTGAAGCAACTTCATTGCAGAACAAAACTTAAAAAGCACATTCGTAGAAAGAACTTTCGCGAGGCAGGTGACCTCGGATGATCAGGTGTCTGGACCCCCCCGTGGGCCCTAGACAGACCTCGATCGTCGGTGCGACCCAGACACCCGGGTGTGGAACTGGATGAAGTACGCTCCACCGGGCACTCAGAAGATCCCTGGGACACTGCGCGAACCCACTCTGTGCTCAGCTCACTGATGCTCTCGAGGTCATCCTCATCGTCGTCAGTGTTTTCACCATCGTTGTCGGCGGTGGTTGAGGCTGTCTGAGAGATGTCCTCGGAGATCTCGTCGACGGGCACATTCTGGGCCTTAGGGGACGGAGCTGGGGCATCAGTACGGAGCAGTTGCATCATGGCTGGCGCAGGCATAGGCTGCACCTGCATGGCTTGCATCGGCTGGGCAGGTTGCGCAGGCTGCAAGAAAGGTCCCATGGGCTGCACGGGTTGCATAGGCTGCAGCATGGGCTGCAGCGTGGGCTGCATTTGTCCCATTGGCTGCTGAGGAACCGGCATCGTGGTAATTAGCGGCATCATGGGCACTGCTATGAAGGTCTGACAAGCCGTGACCGGGTTAGCTGGGCACATGTTGGCGGAGTTTCCGGTGCCAAGGTTGGGCAACATCACCGTGCACGGTGACGGAGCGGAAGGGCCACTGCTGGACGGAGAAACCGACGCCTGCGAGAGGTGGGACGAGGCCTCGTCTTCCATCGCGCTGTAGCGGTCCATGGCCTTCTCAAACTCCTCGGCCGTCAACCTCGGTTGAGTTTTGCACGCCCCCTTGCGGAAAGTGGTTTCATGCACAATCACAAACGATCGTGCCTTGCTGCTCTTGGAACGGCGATGCCACACGGGCCCCACAGACTCCAATTTTCCCCAACTCCCCTGCCCCAAAGCATTTCTTTGAAGAGATCCCACATCTTCAATTCACCCAGGTAGTCAGGCAGCATGGGCTGTAATCCCAAAACGGCCCTAACCCCTTAACCCAGTCAGGCAGCATGGACCCGAGCTTCTAAACCCTAAACCCTAAACCCCTAAACCCCTTAACCCCTTAACCCAGCCAGGTAGCATGGACCCGAGCTTCTAAACCCTAAACCCTAAACCCTAAACCCCTTAACCCCTTAACCCAGTCAGGTAGCATGGACCCGAGCTTCTTGTGCAGCCGCTGCCGCACGCGCCTCTTGAGAGCTCGGTTGGGCGCCTCGGCGCACGCGGCGGCCGCAGATGTCAAGATCTCCTCCAAGCTCAGGCGCACGGGTACTCGGGATAAGTGAAAAAATCGCAATAATAGCAATGCTAGTACTAATAAAAGTAATAAGACTAATCATAATAACAATAATGGTCATAGGGATTCTCTGTAAGTGATTGCAAGGGGATACTGTTTGGGGTTATTCATATGTGATTTCTCTGTAAGGGGATACTACTTGGAGTTGTTATCATGGGGTGCAGGTGAAGGTCTGACAGACTTGTTTCGTTGCAGTATGGCTTTCTGGCATGGGCTCGATGTCTCCTCAACAACGGATGCTGGCAACACCGTGCCGCGCTTCAGCATGACCATGGGTTCCATCTGTGACAAGTTGCTTCCACCTTGGCACATGGCTGCAGTCCGAATGCGATGTCGCGGGAGAGGAAGAAGGCGCTTTTGTTTCAACCCTTGAACCACCTGAGTTGCTGCGGTGTGCGAGACTCGGGTATCATTCAGCGGTGACTCAGCACCTGGAGTTCTGGCTGGATCTATGCGCCGATCTCCACCCGGACGGGGAAGTCATGCGGCATGGCAAGGAGACCATGATGTTGGCTAGACGGTTTGAAACCTCATGGACTCATGAAGCATGAAAAGTTGCATGAACACAGGAACAGTTAAAAAACCGTCTACCATAGCTCTGCGACTTTGGTCACAAGGAAGAACGACGTCAGCACTCAACACCAACAGGATCCCCAGCTCCAGCAACACCATGCTTCGGAGTCTTGCGCTCAACCCCAACCCGAAGAACCCAACAACCGCCCCCCAGCCGTAGCGAGCCTCCAACGCGTCCTGCCTGGCGGCCTGGGAGGACGGGAATCGCGACAGCAGGTCTTCGGATTTGGGGTCTGGTGGTTAGGTGTTGAAGCCTTTATCGAGGTTCCTGCGTTTCACGGCTTAGTGGAGGAGAATCCAGAGCTCACAGGCCCAAACCACGGCTCAGGAACGAAGGAAGACAGATAGATAAAGACATGCATATATGTAGTTATGCATGTATAAATCCTGAAATACATAAAGCTCACAGGTCCTCGAAAAGCGACTGCTTCCGAGCACCCAGCACGCTCTCCAACAGCCAGAGGCAGCATCCCCAGCAAGAACAGGTGTGTCACCTGTAGTTTTCGAGCTTGGCGCAGGGCTCTGATGTTGTTCTGGCGATTTCGGCGGGTTGTTGGCAATAGCTCACCAGGAGAAGTAGAGGGGCTTCTTTGGGCGTAGGTTTAGGCTCCTGCCGGCGTTTGTGGACCGGTGTTGCCTCTGCTGTTGTGGCAATCCTCGGCTCCTTCTCCTTCTGTTGGCCAGCGATCATGATCAGAGCAAGGCTCTGCGACTCTACGGTCGGTCATCGAGTGCAGTAACAACTTTGCCTAAGCCGCAGTTGTGCCGAACCCACGGTCGACATGTTGTCGTTTAAGTCCGGATAGATGCTGCCTTCTAGCTCAATAGGGAACTCGACCTCTCGACCTAAGAGTGAAGACCGAGATCTGCAACACGAACTTCGGACGAACATCCTTTGAGCCCCTTGAAATGCCCTTAGTAACCGCACACATGAACAATCCGACAAACGGAGGCCCACTTGGCAAACAGACAATGTGTCTAAAATAAACGATCAGGAATACTCCCAGAAGCCGGTTCAAACGACGCAGCCCAGATGTGCATACAACGACTTTCAATCTCAGCCCGCAGCATGCATGACAAGAATTGAAACTTTAATGTTTGACTGACCGAGAGCTTTATCCTGGATGGATTTGGGAGAAATGGCTGCATGGAAGCACAGAAGCTGTGGCTACGGTTTAACCAACCTCCCAGCAAGAGCAACTCTCTCGAAATCGCATGCTTTTCCTCTCTCCAGAAGGCAAGTCCCTAGCTCGCAGAGCAGAAAGTGCGACGCGTCGATACTTAAGTCTTTAGGGAGATATGGTGAATCTTTCGCCAGGCAAAAGTCGCACTGGAAGGGATGATGGGGTATCGATAAGGTATATTGGTAGCTCCGAATAAATAGTCAGCAATTTGCATTTCTCGTGGTTAAGGGACATTCCCCTTTTTAGCGGGGGTTATAAAGTGTGGAGATAGCGGTGCAATGATAATCTGGTGTGGGAGAGCAGAACGGTATCGTCCGCATGTTCCACATCAGTGAGCCTAGAATCTGCCGTTAAGACTCGCGGTCGGCCATGTGGCCGCATAATGGAAAAGCAACGATAAGTGATAAGGTGACGACGAACAGATGCGGCGACAGGGACATCCCTGACGGATGCCTTGTGCAAATTGGTTGGAACGAGAAACATAATCGGACGTTTTGACCGTGAAACGACAACCCTGCATTGTAGAGTGTATAGCTTCCGCAAGTTGTGGCGGGACCTCTACGTAATGCAGCGGGTTCCTTAACATCGAATGGGATACCGAGTCAAAAGCCTGTGACGACGTAGCACAAACAACGGTCAACGCAGCTGCTCGAGCTAAACTTTGAACTGGCTTGCCTTCCTCATCTCCCATCGCGATGGAATGAAAGCAAAGGCACACTGCCGAGGGAAATTCGGTTCTTGCAGACTGCGACTCTCGAGTTCTTCTGATTCCGAGCGACAAACCCTGGAGTTTGGGTGGGACTGATCGGAAGACTTCTGGATTTCATGCTTTGTCACTGACTGAGAACCGCTGAGCTGCGAGGTCACACTTCACGTGACCGGGAACCCTGCCCAGCAGCTGAGCATTGAACGAGCAAAAGGAGCTGAAGCTCAGCTTCCGCTGAGGCGCTAGAGGAGCATGATACGCATCAGATGAGAAACGGAGGTCGCTCTCGGCGGATGAGATCAGCAGCACGCACACGATGGGACAAAATGAATACATCGGAGAGCTTGTCTCAGCTTTGCCTGGCTTGCACTGCTGTGTGTGCACACGTTGAGCTCTAAACTAACGACATTCACGAACGCAGCTGTTTTCATTCCTGCTGCACAGATCGTTGCAAGTCTGAGCTCTTCGTGGCCGTTGGTAGGTCACCTGCAGACATCCCAAGTACAGTGGACCAATGAAGTGACATTGGCACCATGCAGCTTCCTGGTCAGAGTCCTAGAGCAAGGCCGGGCTCGTTTCTGTGCGGCCCAAGCAAGTTTCCTGCAGACGCAGCAGTCAGCAAAGTCTGGGATCCGTTGCCAGGTGTGGCTAAAGTGGGCACATATTTTTTCAGCGGACTTTTGCCCAGGGGTTCTCCGGCGCTGGTTGGTCTTCAACCGCTTCTCTTCCTCTCAGGAAGCACTGGACTGCAGCTTTGCTGCGGCTGTCCTTTCGGAAGGAGCAGGAGTTCTGTAGTTTGCTTGAGGTTTCCACGTGAAAGGACAGGACGGCTCCTCACTGTGTGCACTCAAAGCTCCATTTGGTGGGGAGATGTGCACATTTTGGAAACGATGACCGTCTGCACCGCAAGAAGTGGCCTTGCGCTGCTGCAAAACTTTACGGTTCTTGGTTGCAGCAGCTTAAGGCCACATCTCAAGTCTAGACCCTTCCACTGCCACTTGTGCCGGCTGGTGCTCGTACCCTTATGAGCTGTTCAAACCACTCGTAGCAGGTCTGTGCCTGTGCTCCATATCAACACGGCGGTTCAAAGGCGTCTTTTTGACTTTCCTTTTTGGCGTCAACCTCTTCACTTCTGAAGCAGATCATCACGAGATTTTTGTCCTCAAGGCAAACTTTCACACAGGGATTCGCCTCCAGCTTTTTGGCCCCTCGGATTTTTGGCAGCTCGCGTGCTCATCACTTCCATCTTTCCTGTGCACTTCGGCATCTCAGCAAAAGCTTGAGTCCACCAGAATGCTTGCAAAGGTATTGCAAGCATCATCCGAAAATGTTTTCTCGTCACCAAGCTTGGGCCTTACCAAACCTGGAATCAAACCCATTGTCAAACGCGATGCCCTTTGTGGCAGCCCATAAAGCAGCATGCGCGTTGCCCTTGCAATGGGCCGGTCTGCGGGCAACACTCTTGGCAATCTACAATGGCATCAGCCCAAACAGCACCTTGCAAAGCGAATCCCGGAACACAGTCCAGTCAGTTTCTCTGGCAAAGTTGACGCGGCTTTCTCCTCAGGTTGGCCTTCCCTCCACTCCCTCAAGGCAAGAACGCTGCCCCAACTTTTCGAACCTCGGATTCGGAGTGGCCCGCCACTGGCATCTGCGCTGAAGGTACCTCTTGCTGCAATCCGGCAAACTTGCTGGTTTGTGTGGTTGGAGGTGTAGGGCCCAAGACCTCTCGTTCAAAATTGTCTCTTTCCACCCTGTTGTCACCAGCGGCAGCTTGCAGCCTTGCTGGCTCCACTGGCATGCAAGGGTCTGCGACCAGCTGGCCTTGCCAGAGAACAAGCCCTGTGTTGACTTTGGTTTTGTTGAGCACTCCAGACAGCATGTGTGCAGGTGTCAGACCACAGAAGGGAATTCCAGCGGGTGGCCGTGTTTTCCTTGCACCGGTTTTGTGTAAAACTTTCAATCCCAAAACAGACAGGAACCAAACCCCAACACCGCAGCAAGGTCTTTCATCACTGGTTTTGTCTGCTTCAACGCACAACACGCTCATCGTGAACATGTCCAAAACAAAAAAATCCAAAAACATGCGGTTCACAACTCTCTACAGCACACGAAGACCGCAATCACCCACGCACACTCAGCTGGCCGGTTGCACGCTGCTCTCGCAGGGGTTTTGGCTGGATTGATTTTTTTTGGCTGGTGCGGGCCTCAATGACAGCGTCAGCTGCACTCGGTCCTTACGAAGCCATCAAACAACAAACACACGCAAACAGCGGTGAAACCAGGAGCCCACCAGGACCAAGCTGCTGCGGGTTCGCAAGCTACGAAGCTAGCCCGTTCAGGAGCTACTATACAAAGCGGCGAGATGCCGAAACGACAAAGAGCCTGCGCTCTAAGCCGTCCGAAGCAGCGGTGGCTTCCCCACAAAGAAGTCACTGGTCGTTCTAATCCCGTCGGACAACGAGCGACCCCGCAAACTTCGTTTCAGCGATGTCGTGCACACCAAAGTCCACGGCAAGTCCATGTGCAAGATGCCTACGGACAGAGTCGCAGCAGGACATTGAAACCGCACGGCGCGAAGCTGCGTACAAGATGGAAATCCAGCAGCCCTCAATGCGACCAGCCCTCCTATGTCGGCGGGCGAGCAGTTCCATCGCCGCGCTTTGTGGCCAAAAACGGCTTCTTCGACGTTCCAAGATTTCCAAAAAGCAAAGTCGCGTTCTTCAGCTTTTGCCGCGTTTTTGTGAAAAATGGCCTCTTCGCCGAGTCCGAGATTTTCAGAATGCCATTTCACCGTTTTGAGACCAAAACTGAAACAAACATTGAGAACCCAGGTTCAATTGAACCCAGTTCAACCAGGTGGAATTTCCACACCGCGCCACAAAAAAGAGAAAGACGCAAGAACGCTTTTTGGGCCTTGAAATGTTCAAAGCTGGGTTCTATCTCGGTTGAATTCGAACTTAACTCTGCCAAAAAACCTCGAACTGGGGTTCGAACTCTCTCAAAAGAAAAGAAAAGAGTTCGAACCTGTACAGGCCCCACCCTTCGAACCTCAGTGTGTGGATTTCACGGGTCTCCGTTGGGCATGCCTTCTGAGGAGCCTGCTGGTTGGAGCGCCTGCGGCGTGCGGAACCCACGCACAACTCGACCAGACCAATCTTCCGCACTGCCATGGCGGAGATCTGCCTCCGACATGCAAGGCATCAATGCCTTCTGCTGCACACAGGAGGTTCAACCGGTGGTTCGACACCCCGGCCTGCTGAATTTGCCGTGGACTTTGGTGTGCACGACATCGGAAAGACGAAGTCTGTGGGGTTGCTTGCGGTGCCGTCAGCTCCAAAGAAAAAAATTTTTGCTGCAAGTTCAAGCTGGGGGTTAACAGCTCTGAGAAAGCACTTGACGTCCTTGTGCTTGTTTAAGATGTCACAACTTTTGCGTAAAGAGTTTTTGCTCTAAGAAAAAATGATTTTGTTTATCGCTGGCTTAAGCCTTTGAGAGTTGGTCTTCGTCACATTCTCGTCCTTGCAGACGCAGAAGCTGTCGACTTCTGAGTGCAATTTAAAACTTCTGCTTCGCCACCACGCTCCTTGTACTTGAGAGTCTCGCCTGGCGGTTCTGCCACAAGGTCGGACACTTCAACCAGCTCCGATCCGAGAACCTCCACATGCAGTCGTACGGTCACTCCCATGGGAGCAAAGTCCGGAAAGCAACCTTCAAAGGGCTCTGACTGCCTGCAAGGAGGGTGCAGTCGCCAGGAGGTTTCTGATGGTTGTTATCAATTCCTTCGCCCGGATGGAGAGCCACGGTGCCTGAGTGCGCGAGACAAGCCGGAGCGGGGCTGCCGCCCATGCCTCAACGCCCTGAAGGGCATCGGCGCAGTGCAGTTCGAACACATATTGCTCGGGGCTGGGCCCCAGACCTTCGACGAAGGGGGGGGTTAAGGGGGGCTTCAAGGGGGGCTTAAGGGGGGCTTCAAGGGGGGGCTTAAGGGTCACCCCCTTAAGGGGGTCTTAAGGGGGGGGGGGGAAGGGGCGGGGGGGGGCTTCAATGAAAAATTCAAT